GCCGGGGCCGCCGGGGGGGTGCGGGGGTCCCTCAGCCGCTGCCGATTAACTAACACGGAAGCTCTGGGAAACCTGCCAGAAAAAAAGATAAGAAAGGGGGGTGGGGGGTGGGTGCCGGGACCAAACAAAACCGCCAAACCAACCCACTCTACTCTGGCGATCGGGTAACGGGGCGTAAAGAGAGGCTGGCAAAAAGGCAGCCGAGTAGAACCTGAAAGTGACAGATTTTGCCGGGTGGAGATCAAGGAGATCATAGGAACAGGATAACAGCTGCTTAAGCGAGATAAAGAGTTCGTGCACCGGTTTACAAACCCGCTATTATGTTATTTTGCCGGCGGTGTGTGCCTGCGCGGCCGCGGGCTGAGGCGGGGGGAGGCGAGCGCAGCCCCCGCCACCCGCTGCCCCCGCACCGGCGCTTCCAGGCGGGAAATCGCAGCCCGGGCAGGGGGGTTAATAGCAGGCGGCGTAACACTGATTTTCTTGCCCGTCCCGGCTTTTTTCTTTCATCGCCTGCATAATCTATAGGTTTATGCAAACGTTGTCTACTCAGCCGCTTCTTGAAAAACAGGCAAATGTTTAACGCTTGGAGCTAAGGGTACGGTGCCCGGTGTTCACGTAACGGGTGGGTTTCTCCCCGTTTCTTACGTTTGCCCGGTGTTCGACGTGCGGATCTGCCGCAGGAGGTAGAGGCAAGGACACAGAAGCCAAACTCGAATATTTAAAACAAATAACGGCTCCTTGGAGGAATGTGGGCTTTTAGACAAGCAAAAGAAAATAAGCAGAGTTCATTAATATTTTGATCTTGTTTGGTTACTGTGTAGTCTTCCAAACTATCCAGACTTCAAGACAGCCATCTTAAAAAACGCTATAAAGACCTATTTTGATATTAATTAGAAAAAGTGTACACAAACTAAGAGTGGGATGTTCGTAAAGCTATTCTGACAATTATTAGAAGGGATTTTTTCAGTTTAAAAACTTGCAACCTTTTTGTATGTATGCAGTATGTCTAGTGATAACAAGCTCCATGCTGACTTTTAGAAGTCACATACAGAGCTGGAAAACCAAATTCTTGTTCCCACGGAAAGCCCAATATTTAGAAGAGACAAGTAATTTCAGTTTTAGAGTAAGTTTTCAAAATTGGATCAGAATATTCAGTTTCAGCACATTTTAAGTTAGTTTCCTTTTTTTATTTTGAGACTCAGTTACATGCGATACTAAAATGAAACCTGAGCAGCTCTAAAATGACACCATGACATAGGAAGTCTCGACTTTTCTCAACGTTTTCCATCAAAAGTCTACACGTTCCTGCAGTATATTTAAACTTTGCTCAAAGTGTGTTATTTAGGGTAGGGCTGAGGTTCTGTGAAAAAAAAAATAATCCTTGCTGTAAACATTTAAGAAAATCTTTTTTGAAAGCGTTATGTACATACACACATCTTACTTTAAATGACAGGTATCCGAATGTGCAGGCTAAAATGCAAGAAGAAGTGGATAGGATTGTTGGAAGAGATCGTCTGCCGTGTGCTGAAGATCAGCCTCACTTGCCTTACATCATGGCTTTCTTGTATGAATCCATGCGTTTCAGCAGCTTCGTGCCTGTTACTATCCCACATGCCACCACCACAAACACCTTCATAATGGGCTACCTCATTCCCAAGGACACAGTGATTTTTGTTAATCAGTGGTCGGTGAATCACGACCCAGCAAAATGGTCCAACCCTGAGGATTTTGATCCAACGAGATTCCTGGATGAGAATGGATTCATCAATAAAGATCTTACTAGTAGCGTGATGATTTTCTCATTGGGGAAACGTCGGTGTATTGGAGAGGAGTTATCCAAGGTGCAGCTGTTTCTCTTTACCTCCATACTGGTGCATCAGTGCAATTTTACTGCTAATCCAAACGAGGACCCTAAAATGGACTTTACCTATGGGTTGACCATTAAACCTAAGCCATTTACCTTGAATGTTACGCTTAGAGATACTATGGACTTGCTTGATCAGGCTGTCCAAAGACTGCAAGCAGAGAAAGCTGCCAATGAAAATCAGCTGTCAGCAAATGCCTAAGCAGCAAATCTTGCATCTAAAGATAATCCCTCTCTCTTTTCAGACTTAAATAAGTTATAGTTTGTTCTGGTGATCTTTTCAGAAAATAGCCAATATTACAAGTTACAAGAGCAGGAAGGAAAATTGCACAAGGTATAAATACAGCCCTCTTTTTACTTCTAGAAGGAGAGCCAGGAGAACAATTTAATATAATAAATGATAAAACATACGCATTTTGAAAGTAAGCCTTTTCTTTTCTAGCTTGTTCACAGAAGTCGCCATTGTAAAGCGCTTTTTATCTACTGACTGGAGCATCTCCAGGAACTGTTTGTACAATCCTTTCCATGTCTCCATGCACTATGCCTTAACTCTAAGTTCGCCTTCAGTGACTCCACATCCCAAAGTAAAATATCTTATTTAAAAAAAAAAAAAGGAAAGAAAAAAAAAAAAGAAGGGTTGCTCAGAACCCCGCAGCGTGCCTCTGAATTCACCTTACTGGAAACTGCCATAGGCATATGGCAGCTCCTGTGTTGTGACTGCTGGGATGTACATTAATGCCTCAATAATAGATGTTCAAATGATTTTTGGTAAAATGACAATGTAAAGTCTTGCCTTTAGCATTCCAAAGTGTTTACATAAATCACTAAAAAAGACTTGCTTATAAGCACATTTGAAAATAAAATTCATATTTTATATGAGAATGAACAGAATGTCCTAATATAGTAACTTTTCATTAAGTTTTGAAAGATCAGATTTGATGTGTCACCAAGTGGCAAGGGTGATACAAACAATATGCTAATCTTTTTATTAGCATACTCATGAACAGAATAGATATTTTAATTAGAAAGTTTTATAAAAGTATAGCTGAACTTTGTATTTCTCTAGTAAAGAGTTAATATCCCTGTCCCTAGACACATAGGTAAGTCCAGTAAAACCCACATGGGCCCACGTATTTAGAAGTGAGAACTTGGGGGTTTTATATTAAAACTTTCATGCCGCAAGCCTCAAGTAAAGCGTACAGCAAGTACACCCCTGCACACTCGACATTCTGTTAGGTTGAGTTAAATGGTATATCCAAAAATCAGCTGTGTACTTCTAGTACGATTTGCTTGGAACAAAGTCTCAGAAGGAAAACTAACATTACATGTCCTAATTAATGTACCCATTAACTGAAAAAAAAAAAAGTACTTTTAACATTTTTGTGAGGCAAAGGACACAAAATTAAAAAAACCCCACAACCTATTATTTTAAAGTAAAACACACATATGAAACTTTATGGCCTTGAATCTCTGGCTAACGTTTGTGTACACAAAGCTGTGTGTATTTCTCTAAAAAGCAAACAGCCCCATGTAAATGCCCGATTTTGAAAAGTGTTGGGCATTTCTTTGGAGCTGCAGATCACCTTCAATTACGTAGGAAATCCATCAGAAATGAGAGTACCTCACACAACTTGCTGTGTTCAGCCTAGTACTAAATAAGGTATTAGTAGAGCTAGAAAAATAAGGTTGCAATGCTACACAGTAAAGTAGCTCTGCTGAGACCTAAGTAAAGATTTGCACTAGGTCTTCTGATAGATGGCCAGTCTGAGTCACCTTGGCAGCAGTGACAGAACTCATGCTGACATTGGGAAGAGCTGGGTTAACGACACAATCCTGATCTTCTCAAGTAGAAGCTTCGCTACCGATTTTAAAAACCTGAATCAAGCATAAATGTACTGCTCCGTAACCCCACACAGTAGTAAGGTACCTGTTTAAAGTCTCTGACTTCATCTGGCATCTATCTATTTTATTATTATTTTTTAGAGTTAAAAAGAGCTTTCTGTTACATACACAAGGAGTAACCTCAGGTGTTTTTCTGAATTGCGTACAAGCTTGTGATATCCCAGAACTTAGCCTATACCTGTGAAAAGCTTTATAAGATACTCAGCATATTCATATGGAGATCTACATTAGATCAGATGCTAGCAAGACAATTTACTTTGTACCTTTGTAAGTATGGTTATTAAAAAAAAAAAAAAAAAAGATGTAACCTAAACTGAATAGTTATTCTAATGCAAGGATCACCAATTTGTATTTTAATAAAAATCGCTTTTGCAATTTTGTACTCTTCCAAAAGCTTTAACTATGCATTGGCTACTAATGCAACATCCATTCACACTGCTCGTGTCTGTCAGGGGGTCACACACTACATAGCTGTTGGTCAAATAATGCCTTGTGTAATCTGTGAAATTACTCAAATTTAGTAGCACCCATTTAGAATGTATGCACTTGCTGAGCGAGCTAACTTTTATGGTCATTTTGAGATGTATCATTGTGTTACCAAAATACTAAATAAAGTGATTCTTACATTGCCTTTGCTTAGTTTATGTATAGCTTTCTAACATCAAGATAAACAAAATTACTATTTCTGTTTTGGAAAGTATTATTATTTCAGAAATTTGTTCATGCACTTTTAATTTTCTTCCCGTTTCTGGATTTTAAGCTTTTTCTTGATCCTACCCTTACAGCTTCCCTGGTCTGCCTGCTTATTCATACCTTCCCATCAGCTTCCTCATGCTGCTTACTAAGAACATTCCCTACTGCTCGTCTCAGCATCGATCTGAATTCTCTCATGCCTTTTGCTTTCTTCTAATACCTGTTAATCTCTCCTCAGCCTGCACAATCTCCTATGCTATGTTCTTCACCTCTGGCATTTCAGTTTACTTCCACCTCCTCCGATTTTTTAAGGGGGGGTGGAAGCCCCCTTAAAAGCCCACAGACTGGTTTTCCTTTCTATTTTTTCCCTCCTATATCTAGTGCTGGCATCTATATATTCCCGATGCTGGATCCCCACCGCTGCCCTTGGGACCAATTTGTGCAGTTTTGGCCTCAGTGTATAGTCAGGAGTGCCAGGAAGGAAATCTCAGGGCCAAAGAGGCCTTAACGTGCCCTTGCAAAGCAACCTCTCACAAAATTAAGGCAATGCTGTGGCAAAGGGTGGCTGTTATTGTATATATGAAGCGCTTTTTCATGATGCAGCAGCACCCTGGCCTGTCTCTGTCTTCTTTCCTTAGTCTTCTGCACAAGCCTGCTTACTTCAGAGCTGTCTTACAGAAGACCTTCATTTTTTCCCTAACCTCGAGGAAGTGGAACAAAAGCTGGGTGGGAGAGAAAGCTGGGCAGACTGACTAACAGCGGTTCCCTCCTGATTTGGGATATTTTCGGCTGGAGTTTCTCTGGGGGGGGGGGAAGGTTTCTACGTACAAGCAGAGCTGGTGGAATCAGAAGGAGCACAAGTTGAAGACGACTTACAAAGACCCCCTAGAAGTAGCTAAGGACCTGTGGAGTAGGTGTAGTGTCCAAAGATACCCCACGCATTGCATACATGGCTGGGGCTGACCACTGTGTCACAGCGTAGATACAGAGCAGGTGTCCTCCCTGGGTAAAAGCCAAGAGCAACTTCATACAGTCGAGAGATGCTGCCACACTGTCCCCACTTCCCATTAATTTCTAGGTATTTTTCTGCTTTACCAGCAGTCTACAGCTGAGGTCTAGACTCCCTCTTCAGTGTTGACAGGCACAGTTTTATAGCAAGACCTGCCACCTTAGTGCCAAAAGGTGCAGTGCTGATGCAGCCAGAAGTTGACATGAAGAAATTATTCTTGGAGAGATTCTTGGAGATCACTACAAATACTATTTATGGCAGTTTAACAGAGAACCAAAAGTTTCTGATTGCCCACTGTAAGCCAGTACCAAGTGTTAAGGAAACAGAGTAAAACTAACTCAGCAAATTGGCTTGATTATTACTATTTTTTAATTCTGTATTTCCATTTTCCATCTGTTTCATTGGAGCAGCTGTTAGAAAAACTATCATTTTCAAAAACAGGCAAGGTCACATCTAACAGCAAGTCATGCACATCTCATGAGATTTTGTGTTTGCACTGTCACTGCCTCCCTCAACAACCCATGATTGGATGTCGCCATACCAATACTAGACAAATATATGTTGCCCTTTCTTCATGAAACAAAGCACAAATAACTTAAGCAGCTGTATTCAAGACAAAATTTTTCCTTTAAAAACCTTCATCCTCAGGTTGCAGTGATTGTAATGGGTCAGAAAAGCCAGATGTCATCTCACGCTTGCTTTCCCTGTGTATGTGCGCGCACACACATGCTAAGTCATCTCTTAGAATTTTAGTAACATCTTTCATTCAAGATAACAGATTAAAAAAAGAACAAAACACCAAACCAACAACAAAAAAACCCCAAACCAAAACAACAAAAAAAAACCCCAAAACCACAGAACAGGAAGCACAGGGAGAAATTAGGACAAGCATATGTTTCTTGGAAAACCAGTAGCTGACCACCCTGACTACATAACAAGGAAGGGAAGCAAATAGGCTGAGCTCGCAGATTTGTTATGGAAATACGTTTATACTATTCAAGCGTAGCCCTACGTTCCTTGTGAAGCTCATAGTTAAACTTGCTGGCTTCAGCAGGAGTCAGTTCAGAGCTGCTGAAATAAATAGCAATAACATAACAATAAGAAACAAGACTCATCAGAGCTTGAGAAACAACTGCTGCTAGAAAGAGGCAAGGGGGGGAGTCAGTCCAGGATGTGCACAAGAGCTATCTGTGCCGGCATAGTCATGGCACTATGTAACTAAATGCAAATTCACAACAACAAATTCCAATTAGTTTTGCATCAGACCCAGTGTGGTTTTGTGAGTGGCAGGGACTGATGTATAGGTCTGTCTGTAGGAAATTGGTTCAGATTGTTCAGGCAGAGCAACCAGACACTAGGCAATTGGGAGCTTACATTTTACCTAAGAAAAGTTGAGGAATTAGCCATGGAAAGTGAACAGTTAACGTTTGCCTTTGCTGCATCTTTAGCTTGGTTAAATTTTACTCAGACCTCTTATTTTCCCACACAACGAGTTCAACTTGGGATAACGCTGAAGGGGGATGTGGCTTTTTCGCAGATGAAGAAAAGGGCCAGATTCTGAACGCTGCCATTATTTTGGTACATGGCACAAAAAAGAT